CCTGATGGACTGTATACAGTCAGTGGAGATTACAAGATTAATCCAACACTATCAGTTACTAATCCAGCTCTCCTGATGGACTGTATACAGTCAGTGGAGATTACAAGATTAATCCAACACTATCAGTTACTAATCCAACTCTCCTGATGGACTGTATACAGTCAGTGGAGATTACAAGATTAATCCAACACTATCAGTTACTAATCCAACTCTCCTGATGGACTGTATATAGTCAGTGGAGATTACAAGATTAATCCCTTAGTAACTGATAGTGTTGGATTAATCTTGTAATCTCCACTGACTGTATACAGTCCATCAGGAGAGTTGGATTAGTAACTGATAGTGTTTCCAACTCTCCTGATGGACTGTATATAGTCAGTGGAGATTACAAGATTAATCCAACACTATCAGTTACTCATCTTATTGTCGTACTTAAGATAATGATTGTCTGTTTTTCTTGTATGTATTAACCCTTTTACTATGGTCTGGGTGGATTCGACCCATCCTGTATCCCCCAAAGTAACCATAAAGCAGTTGTACTGTAACTTTTACAGATTTTTAGTAAACATTACAAGGCTTTCGTACACAGAATATCAGATTTTTAATTTAAGTTTTAAGATTTAAGTAATGACTTGCTTGTGCATTTTTTTTTTAATGTTGACAATTCAACATATAAAGTAATTTTTATTTTAAGATTAAAAATAAATTTATGCATCAGAAAATTGTCAGATTTCACAAGCGAAATCTCTATAACCTCCTGATAATCGTTAAACTTTTTTTTTAGGAAAATCTGTATTTCATACGTTATTTTCATTATTTTATCTCTGTATGAGTAACCACCATAAAAGAATTAGGAAATAAATATAAATTAAGCTTTTTTCATCCTAGAATTACTACAACTAATAACATGAAACCACAAATGTTTAGTTTAAATAGCTTAAATCTCATAACAGCCATTTCTGACTAAAATTACAGAAGGTGTAATGACGCAGTGCACGTGCACTCATGTTACCGTATCCAATAGTATGAAACTGGCCTTCAACAAGGGGAACTGTCTTAGCTTTGGACCAATATTTTGTAGAATACAATCACATTTCGGTTATAATATATTACATAAGTATATATATATATATATTATTACTATTACAAATAAGTTCTTAAAGTACAGTTATTTTTCATAAAACATAGAACAATAAAGAAATATACAAACAAAGATCTCTTTTACTTACAAAATTTTGTACTTGCTTGTTGTAATTTGCTGAGTAAGCCTTGTCAGATTTCACATATGGAGGATGTAAAATAAAATAAATGTTTTAGCTTTTATATATGCATTTTGAAATAACAAAAAATAATAAATTACTATATTGGTAATATACAGAATTCCACTGTAATTTATCAGGCTTAGTAACTAAGCTGTATTAAAAAATATGATATTTCAAGCTCCATTATCTCTGCTTTGATTCTACATAAATAGAAAGTTTTTTCCCAAGTAAACACTTCACAAAGGCTGAGAAAACCACGTGGAGGACATTCTGAACTTATGATTAGTTATAAATGTGTCGTAGAGCGAAGTAGGTGTATGTAAACAAGTATTTCCAAAAATGATGGGGCCATTTTGGTTGAGTCACTAAATATAATAATATTTCAGAAAATAGAAAAGATAGGAGGTTCTTACTTTATATTCTAGTTTGTCCATATCAGTAACTCGAGTTTCTCTTTCCTAAGAAACTATAGACATAGTATTTGGATGTCACAAACATATAATTTGCTGCATTCAACATATGACACACAAAAAATGATATTTAGGAATTTTGTTTTAATATTTATTTTAAATTAAGAAATTGACTAATGTATAATTTGTATTATAATCTACAATGTGATATCAAACTTATTGACATACGTTCATAAAATAGTTCACTAAAATTTTGAATCTAAGTCTACAAATGTGATAACATGCCCTCTGACCCCTACCCCTAGCGAAAGGATTAAACTACAGTCTTATGTAGATATGTAGCAGAGTATTAAACATTTTTATGTTTTATCAGTTTTATATTCATATGAACCATTTTTGAAATAATAAAGTTCTTTAAATATCAAAAGATTTGTTTTTCATTTGAAAACTTTTATGTTTTTTTTAAAGTTAGCCTTTCTTTTCAACAGGTGAAAGTTTGGAACACTGGCACTGGGTTTTGTTTTGTCACCTTTACTGAGCATGAAAGTGGTATAAGTGGGGTAACTTTCACTCAGAGTGGGAAGGCCATACTCTCAGCATCCTTAGATGGTACTGTTAGAGCTTTTGATCTTCAGAGGTGAGGTGTACATTCATTCTGAGTTTTGTTGTTCAGGAGTAAAGGACAAAGATAAAAAATGTTGATAGGTTAGATGACTTCACTTGTAATGTAGGCTTACTGTACTGCAAGGATGGCATAGAAAATTAACTTTAAAAGAAATTGGTAAGGTAAAGATGAAAGAAATTGACAATGATATTGTCTTGCAGGAAAAATTACTTTAAAGAAGTAATTATGAAACATTTACCACTGCGGCATGGAAACTGATACTGGTATTTATATCTACCACTGATACTGGTATTTATATCTACCACTGATACTGGTATTTATATCTACCGGTATAAATACCGGGATCAGTGGTAGGTATAAATACCAGTATCAGTGGTAGGTATAAATACCAGTATCAGTGGTAGATATAAATACCAGTATCAGTAGTAGGTATAAATACCGGGATCAGTGGTAGATATAAATACCAGGATCAGTGGTAGGTATAAATACCAGTATCAGTGGTAGGTATAAATACCGGGATCAGTGGTAGATATAAATACCAGGATCAGTGGTAGGTATAAATACCAGTATCAGTAGTAGGTATAAATACCAGGATCAGTGGTAGGTATAAATACCAGGATCAGTGGTAGGTATAAATACCAGTATCAGTAGTAGGTATAAATACCAGTATCAGTGGTAGGTATAAATACCAGTGTCAATATATAAATACCAGGATCAGTGGTAGGTATAAATACCAGGATCAGTGGTAGGTATAAATACCGGGATCAGTGGTACCTACCACTGATCCCGGTATTTATACCTACTACAGGAAGCTTTTAGATAATTTTTAATAACATGAGAATTTAATGTGGTTTTCAAAACAGAGGAAACTTTCTTTAGCTTAAAACTATAAATAAGGGTATTTCAAACCAGGAAATATTTGGCATTATAGAAACATGCTTTTGCAAAAACTTAACGTGTACTGGAACATAGTGTGTTAGTATTTAGCATTAATAAATAGAACATACAACTTAATCAGATTGATATGAAATTCAGTGTACTTTATTTTAAATGGATCAAAATAGTTTAATGAACAAACATGTTCTTCTCTAGGTATCGAAATTTTAGAACATTTACATCACCTCAACGTACACAGTTTTCCTGCTTGGCTGTTGATCCTAGTGGTGAAATAGTGTGTGCAGGATCTCAAGATACATTTGAAATATTTGTGTGGTCGCTGCAGACTGGGCGTCTTTTGGAGGTAAGACTTCTTTGGTTTTATCAGTAAGAACAGCTTTCTTAGTGAATCACAGCCTATCAAACCCTCCTGCCTTTTGAGATGCTGTAATTTTCTCAAGTCCAGATTGGCACAATTCTCGGTCAATCGCTGGATCTGGGTTAGGTAACTATCCATCCAGGAGTGTTTGTTTGACATCAACAAACCATGATAAAATATGGCAGTATGCCTCTGATGGCATTAGAGTACCATTTGAGCAGCTGCACAGTCGGCCCGGCCTTGCTGAAGAACTGTGATGTCACTGTCTGTTAAGGTGATTGTTCAGTAGAACCTACATCATAGTTCTTCAGCAAGGCCAACAACCACCTTAACAGATAACACAGTAGAACCTACATCACAGTTCTTCAGCAAGGCCAACAACCACCTTAAGAAACTTCACAGTAGAACCTACATCACAGTTCTTCAGCAAGGCCAACAATCACCTTAACAGACAACACAGTAGAACCTACATCACAGTTCTTCAGCAAGGCCAACAATCACCTTAACAAACAACACAGTAAAACCTACATCACAGTTCTTCAGCAAGTCCAACAATCACCTTAACAGACAGTGCAGTAGAACCTACATCATAGTTCTTCAGCAAGGCCAACAACCATCTTAACGAACTTCACAGTAGAACCTACATCACAGTTCTTCAGCAAGGCCAACAATCGCCTTAACAGACAACACAGTAGAACCTGGCCTTGCTGAAGAACTGTGATGTAACAATCACCTTAACAAACAACACAGTAAAACCTACATCACAGTTCTTCAGCAAGGCCAACAACAGGCGAGGAAGTGTTTTCAACCTCTACTCGTTAAATCACGAAATGAAGGTTTGAAGGACAGGACATTACCACACTCCTGTGGGTAAGCCAGAATCGATTATATGTGTGGTCTATCCTGATTGTTCCTTGTACCCAAATGACTCTCATCCCAGTCCGTAGCCAGGAGAGCCATGAAATCATATAAGTCCACATTTCTTTTTTTTTTTGTACGAAATGTATCTTTTTCTGCCTTAAATATTGAAAAGGGCAGATCCACTAAAACTAATGTTAATCTTATCTCACTTGTTTTATGTTTTTGTCAATTTTTAATACTTAGTAGCATGAATTTTTGTATATTATTGGGTATAGTTTCACACAAAATGATTGTTTATAATTTAAATTAGGTTCTTTCCGGCCATGAAGCTCCTGTGAGTGGAATCAGCTTTAGTCCAAACCAAGCTATCCTCGTAAGTGCATCATGGGACAAGACTGTTCGTGTCTGGGATGTTTTCGAAAGCAAAGGTAGCCGGGAAACACTTCCTGTTACGTCTGATGGTAGGCAGCTCCTGTACTTTATCTACCTCCTTGCTTAATTCACACATAGGTTTCAGTAACATTAGAATATTTGTAAACGTTTTTGTTTCAATAACTACATTGTCCATTTTTTTTATCATTATTTTTTCCCTGCTTGAATATTTGAAGTTCCACAAAAGATAGTAGTATAGAAATCTGTAATTCTTAAGTTGTAACTTTATCACACAGTACTCCTTAAATTGTGTAGTTCATCATAACTAATTAGTGCAATGATCTAAGTTTACCAAGAATAATTTTTTGTAATCCTTAAAAATGTGCTGCCATCTAGGCTTGTTTAATAAAAATGTAAAATAAAAATATACTTACTCTAAAGAAAACATATCATATGTGACTTTTTTCCTGTCTAGATGAGGATTGAATTTATGATAAAACTTAGAAAATGCAACATCCGAAATTTTTGTGACGTTAGTTTCTCAGATTATTATGACTTAATGCAATGTTCTGGTAGTTAAGGTGCTGTACTGGAAATCTGAGGGTCACAAATTCAAATTCCTGTCGTCAAACATACTCCTTCTATATGATTGCCATTTGGGTTGGCCACCTGAATGTAAAAATTCTTGGCTTATAAAATTACTGGCCAACACCAAACTAGTTGGGATTAAGGTTATTATGAAGAAGAAGAATACAGAGTGATACAAAAGTTGTGTACTACAATAATGTATCGCTGAATTTCAACACATTCTTGCAAGGTTATTGTATCAAAAGTGAAAGCGTTAATACAAAATTAGAAAAATGATAAC